ATATATATATATATATATATATATATATATATATATATATATATATATATATATATATGCTACTCTGCATGGGCCTGAACCCCTTCAGCTAAAAAATCAACAAGACTGGCTGCGGTTACCAAATCAGGCACAAGGCCACCATCAGTCACCTCCTCTACATGGATGACATCAAGCTGTACGCTAAGAATGAGCAAGATATCGACTTACTGATCCACGCCATCCGGATCTACCGCACAGACATTGTGCGAGATTATACACACTTCCCTAATCATTCCAACTACAGCAGGGTGGTCAGATGGTGACTAAGAGAGGGAAGGCATCCTTCACTGAGGTGGTCTGACTCCCAGAAGGAACAATAGCAGACATTGAGGACATTTACAAGTACCTCAGAATCCCACAATCAGATGGCAACCTCAAAGAAGTGACAAGGAAAGCAGCTACAGCAAAATACCTCCAATGAGTGAGGCAGGTCCTAAGAAGCCAGCTCAATAGAAAGAATAAGTCTCGGTAAATAAATAGCTATGCTCTACCAGTAATCAGATACCCTGCAGGAATAATAAGCGGGCCAAACGATGAGATACAGGCCACAGATGTTAAGACAAGAAACTCCTAACCATGCACAGAGGGTACCACCCCAAATCCAGCAACCTGAGACTGTAGGCTAGCTGTAAGGAAGGAGCCCAAGGACTAATGAGCGTGAGAGCCATTATTCAGGATGAAACATTCAAGATCATAAGTATTTCAAGGAAAAGGCTCCAACAGATGACATGCTCAGTGAATGTCTAAGACAATGGGGAACAGAAGATGAGGTGTTAGAGGTTCCATCATGGGAGGATAAACACTCATCATGGTTGCACAGGGGCAGGCCTTGAGCACTAGAGCAATAGAGGCCCAGATCTACCACACCAGACAAGACCCCAGCAGCAGACTGTGCAAAGAGGATCCTGAGACAATCCAGCACATAACTGCAGGGTGTAAGATGCTGGCAGGGAAAGCTTACATAGAGCGCCATAACCAAGTGGTGGCAATAGTGTACAGGAACACCTGTGCAGAGAATAGGCTGGAAACCCCAAGATTAAGGTGAGAAACACCTCCAAGGATGGAAGAAAATGAGTAAGCCAAGATCCTGTAGGACCTCCAGATACAGACGGACCGATTGGTAATGGCAAACAAACTGGACATTGTGGTGGTGGACAAAAAGCCTCGGCCATTGTAGTTGACATAGCAACACCAAGTGACTGCAACATCAGGAAAAAGGAACACGAGAAACTTGAGAAATACCAGGGGCTCAGAGAAGAGCTGGAGAAAACCTGGAAGGTCAAGGCATCAGTGGTGACCGTGGTCATTTGGGCACTTTGGGCAATCAGCTGACAAGAAAGCTGGAATCACAGCAGGAAATACCCCTATGTCATTCAGGGTTTAAATCCAAGCACTGAAAGGAAATCGGCCTCTTTCCCTGGGTTTCATCGCCTGCGAGTAGAGGCCCATATTTCATGTGAAATGCTAAAGAAAGCGATCTGAAAGCAGCTTTCGTTTTCCTGCGTCGAAAGTCACGGATCGCAGTGTCCCATCGCGCATAGTGCCCGCTGAACTGGGTGAGACGGGATCTCCGAAGCTAAACGCTGTGTGGATTTTCCCTCTTTTGTGAGGACCTCGCTACTGAAATCACAGCCTGTCCGTAGGGGGACACCCTTGCTTTCGATAGCCGTAGGTAACCATCCTTGAAAGCCTATCAAGTTCCTCTGCTGTAGGATCAGACTGATCTAAAAATCTTCACAGTGGTCTATCCTGATTTCTTTTGTTGTTGTTTTGTTTTGTTTTTTAGCTGTTTTATTGCAGTATGTTGTACACATACTCCTCTTTTGAACCGGCAAAACTGTATGTTGAGGTGTTGAAGGAAAGTATTTGGTTTTATTTTAGGTTTCAGGCATGCTTCAAGTGATTTAAGTTCTGATAACATCAGTTTACTCTATTATTAACCTGTCATCTGCATGAGTATGTTTTAATTGTTGGAGAGACTGACATTTACTGACTGGGTTTAATGACAGTAACATGTAGGGAGAAAAAAGTAAATCAGAAACGTAATCTTTGCCATCAAACAGATTTTCAATCATCCTCTGAAAAAAAACAAACGTTATTTTACCTTACTGAGGGTGTTACCATCATACAAACAAAGACAATGAGTTAAGGGAAATAGATTAAATGAAACTTTGGCAGAATCTGCTGCATAGAAGTTAAGCAGTGACCTTGTGTAAAACAAAGTCTATAGAAACAAAAAAATACATTATTTTATTATTTCATTACATGTACTGTGTGCAACACATGGAAATGTATTAATCTATATATGTTTTGCATTTTATGATGCAAAACATATATATGTGTAACTTTGGTTTTGTAGTTCTTTTCCGAAAGGTGCATGTCAATTTGACAAGTATCCTCCTTTTTTTAATAGGTTTTGTATTTTCAGGTTATCTTGGGGGGATTTTAGGTTTAAATATTCTAAGAAAGAGATGAGTTTTGAAACATAGGGTATTAGCCTTGCAAAAACGAAATGAATCTATATTAATTAGCTTTTCTTTCAGTATTTTCCCAACCAAGTTACTATCATGTTTTTCTTTTCACAAATATTTGAATGATAACCATCCATCCATTCATTCATCATCTTCCGCTTATCCGGGGTCCGGTCGCGGGGGTAGCAGCTTCAGTAGGGAGGCCCAGATG